GTTTACAGGAATGAGCCACCCTGCCTAGCCAACATAATCCCTTATTTTAAAGCTTTGAGGCTGGATGTTTTCAGAATCCAGAATTTCTCAGATTCTGAAAAGGTAAAATGTTAAGTATATGTAATGTTAGGTTACACCCTCAGCGGGTTCTGGAGCAGGGTTTTGTAATCAGATGTGTTAACTGGTTCCATAGATATATATATATATGCATTTTTACATTATTGGGATATGTAACAAGCATAAATAGTCTCTTAGGTTAGATAAAGGTTTCAAACTTCAGAACAATTTTGGTGTTCAAACCTTTTTAGATCTGAGAAATGCAGATAAGGGACCTTATAATTTTGTTTACTTCTTTTTCTCACTTACCTGGACAGAGAGTACCTTGAGGATAGGAACTGTGTTTTTTGTTTTGTCACCCCTATCTTTGTCACTAACACTTGTGTGTCACCTGATTTCTTTTTAGCCTCAGTTTTAATTCTGTAAAATGGGATCAGTATTGCTTTCCTCATGAGATTCTGGTGAGGATTAAGTGAGGCTGTGCATATGAAGCCCTAGCACTGTTAGCACATACCACAAAGGGTGTGGCTGAAATTTACTTATTCCAGAACTTCTCTGTTTTATAATTATTTAGGAAGGCAGTACATGCCCATGGCTAATCATACCCTTCCCCTCACAAGTTCCTCTTCATAGAGGCAGCTGACATAATATGCGTAAACAAGCATATCTATCTATCTATATATATTTTGCAGTTTTTGACTGGGGCTGGGTTTGAACCTGCCACCTCTGTCATATGGGGCTGGCACCCTACTCCTTTGAGCCACAAATCTATCTTTTTGTATCTCTTCCAACCCCCACTTCCTACCCTTTTCTTCCAAATTATAGCATTCAATCCTGTTCTCATCTTCATTCTCATTAATTTTTCTTTTGGCTATTTAACATAGTCACATCTTTTTCTTACATGTAACATACCTATAAAATTATGTGGAAATGTAGGTTTAAAGAGCAAAAATGAACACGCATGTACCCACCAAGTTAAGAAATAGAACATTATCATATGCCCAAAGTCTCCATGGAAACCTTTTCTTCCCTCTGCATGTATAACCATTATGTTACCATTCCCTTGTTTTTTGTTGTAATTTTTACTATTTATGTATGCATCTCTAACAAATGTGATGTGTGGTTTTGCTGAGTTTTGGATTTTATATAAATGGGCTCCTAAAATATATTTTGTGTGACTTGATTTTTGCATGTAACATGTTTTTGAGAAGCATCCATGTTGAAGTAAGTAGCTCTGTATTGCTGTGTTGAATTCTATTGTGGCTGCTCTTCAGTTGATGTGCATTTATACTATTGCCAGATTTTTGTTATTATGTGATGCTTCTGTAAACATACTTCCTGGGGCAAATGGGGAAATTTCTGTAAGGTGTATATATCACCTTACCCTGGATTTCTGGTGATAACCATATTTGCTAATAATATCAAATTGTTATCTGAAATGGTTAGGTTATTAGAATTTGTATTTTATCAGCAGTGGTAGAAATGAATCTCAGCTCCCCCATTCTGTAAAATTTCTGTTACTCGTTGTCTGTCATCCATCTCTCTCTCTCTTTTTTTTTTTGAGACAGAGCCTTAAGCTGTCACCCTGGGTAGAGTACTGTGGCATCACAGCTCACTGTAACCTCCCACTCCTGGGCTCAAGGATTCTCCTGCCTCCGCCTCCCAAGTAGCTGGGACTACAGGTGCCCACTACAACGCCTGGCCATTTTTTGGTTGCAGCCATCATTGTTATTTGGCGGGCCCAGGCTGATTTCGAACCCGCCAGCTCAGGTGTGTACATGGCTGGTGACTTAGCCATTGAGCCACAGGCACTGACCCTGTCATCCATCTCCTACCATTGTTTTTTCTGTCCTGATTTGTAGGAGTTCCTTAGATATTCTCAAATCATATCTTTTTTTATTTTGTGGCTTATATGTATTTCAGATATTTTCCAGTTTGTAGTTTGTAGCATCTCTCTTTCTAGTGTTTTTGGTGAACAGAGGTTCTTGATTTTAATGAAGTCTAATTTATCAGTGTATTCCTTTATAATTTTTTTTTTGAGTTGGAGTCTTGCTCCATTGCAGTGGCATCATTATAGCTCACTGCACCTCAAACTCCTGGGCTTCAGCCTCCTTTCTCAGCCTCCTGAGCACCTGGGGGTACAGGTGCGTGCCACAACACCTGGATTGTTCTTTCTGTCTCTTGTAGAGAAGTGGGTCTTCCTTTTTCTTGCTCAGGCTGATCTTAAACTACTGACCTCAAGTGATCTTCTCACCTTGGCCTCCCAAAACAAAGTACCAGGATTATGGTCATGAGCCACACTGCTAAGTTATGTAATTTGTACTTTTTGTACCTTTGAAAGAAATTTTTCCTTACTTATGGGTTATAAAGGTATTCTCTATATTGTCGAAAAGTTTTATAGTTTTTTTTTCTTATAATAAACCTCTAGAATTGATTTTTGTGTATAGTATGAGGTAGGGGTCAAAATTTTTTTTTTAACATGTGAATAATATCTGGCACTTTCTATTGAAAAGTTTGCTTTGGGCTCGGCACCTGTAGCTCAGTGAGTAGGGCACTGGCTGCATATACTGAGGCTGGCAGGTTTGAGCCTGGCCTGGCCTGCTAAACAGCAATGACAACTGCAACCAAAAAATAGCCTGGCGTCGTGGCAGGCTCCTATAGTCCCAGCTACTTGGGAGGCTGAGGCAAGAGAATTGCTTAAGCCCAAGAGTTTGAGGTTGCTGTGAGCTACGATGCCACTGCATTCTACCAAGGGCAACATAGTGAGACTCTGTCTCAAAAAAGAAAAAAGAAAAAAGTTTGCTTTCATCCAGTATGTCCGCTATGCTATATGTGTGTACCTTTGTATTTTTGAGATCTATATTCTATTCCATTGGTCTTATTTGTCTTATGTCATTATCATTAACACACTTTATTCATTATTCTAGCTTCATAAAAAATCTTTGCCATTTTGTCTTTGTTTCTAATGTAAATTTTAGAATCATGGCAAATCATGTGCAGACACATACATAAAGCCTGTTGGGATTTTGACTGGAATTGCATTAACTCAATTGCAATGGATCAATTTTGTTTTTATGTATTTTTTATTTTTTTGTAGTGCAGAGTCTCACTTCATCGCCCTCGGTAAATTGCTGTGGCATCATAGCTCACAGTAACCTCCAATTCCTGGGCTTAGGTGATTCTCTTGCCTCAGCCTCCCTAGTAGCTGGGAGTACAGACGCCTGCCACAATGCCTGGCTATGCTTTTGTTGCTGTTTGGCGGGGGGTGGGAGTGGGGTGGGCCGGGTTTGAACCTGCCACCCTTGGTACATGGAACCGGTGCCCTACCCACGGAGCCATAGGTGCTGCTCTCAATTTGTTTTTTTTGTTTTTTTTTTTGAGACAGAGCCTCAAGCTGTCCCCCTGGATAGAGTGCCGTGGCAGTACAGCTCACAGCAACCTCCAACTCCTGGGCTCAAGCGAGTCTCCTGCCTCCACCTCCCAAGTAGCTGGGACTACAGGCACCCACCACAATGCCCGGCTATTTTTTGGTTGCAGCCATCATTGTTGTTTGGCGGGTCCGGGCTGGGGATTCAAACCTGCCACCTTAGGTGTACGTGGCTGGCGCCTTAGCCGGTTGACATATAGGCGCCGAGCCCTCAATCTGGTTTTTAAAGTGATTGCTTTCAACATTTCTTTAAGTATTATGTTCACTGTAGTTTTTTTGTAGATGTCCCTTAGCAGATAAAAGAAGTTTCCTTCTGTTCCAAATTTAAGTTTTTAGTATGAATAAATGTTGAATTTTATTAATTGTATGTTCTATATCAAGATAATCATATGCCTTTTCCTGTATTAATGTGGTGATTCACATTCATTCATTTTCAGATATTTAACCACTGCTAGAATAGATCCAACTAAGTGATGGTATGTCATTATTTTCACTTGGCTAGATTAGGTTTTTTAGCCTTTTGCTTAGGACATATTGCTGCTGTGCTTGTGAAAGATACTCGGCTGTAATTTTCATTTCTATCAAGGTCCTTGTTAGGTCTAGTGTCCAAGTTATAAGTTAGGTCTAAGGCCAAGCCTTAACAGATGGGTTAGGAAGGATTTGCTTTTTTTGTGGCTCTGAGATAGTTTGCGTAACATTTAAATTACTTGTTTCTATAATGTTTGGTAGGACTTCTTGATAAAGTAATCAGGACCTGAAGTTTTATTTGTTTGAGAGGATGGATTGCCCATAAAATGTCTTAAATGGTTGTAGGACTGTGTAGGTTTTTAAATAATTCTTTTGAATGAGCTTCCTATGACTTTGTACATATTTAAACCTTCAGGTTCATTGTTATAAATTGTTTATATCTTTTAAAAATGTTTGTATGACATGCTATTAATTTCTCTTTTCATTCCAAATATTGTTTATTTGTAAGTTTTCTCTCTTGGAAAATTGTGTTAGAGGTTTTTCACATTTTTAAAGTTTTTTCAAAGAATAATTTTGACTTTGTTGATTTCTTTAGGTATATGCTTGTTTTCTATTTTATTTAATTTCTACTCATTGTTTTCTTCCTTTAACTTTCTATGGATTAATTTGCTGTTTATAGCGTCTTAAGGTGGATGCCTAATTCATTTCAGGACATATGTTTTAATTATCTACTCATGTTTTAATTATACTTAAGAATATATGTATAAACATTTAAGGCTATTAATTTCTCTTCATTTGCTTCCCACCTGTTTTTATGTGTAATGTTTTATTATTGTTCATTTCAAAATGTTTTCTAATTTCCACAAATAATTCCTCTTTGGTAATGGATTATTTAGAAATATGTTTCTTAAATTCTAAACAAATGGAGTGTTTCTAGGTATGTTTTTGATACTGGTTTCTAGAATTTATTGTATTGTAGTCAGAGAACATAGTCTGTGTTAAACCTGTCCTTTAAATTTTGCTCAGACTCACTTTTCAGACCAGTTTTGCAATTTGCATAATTGTTCTGGATGTGCTTGAAGATTCTATATTCTGTAGCTGTTGGATTCAGCATTTTATGCATGTCCATCGCTAAACTTACTGCTTTCTTCATTAATGAGAAAGGTATGTTAATATTTCTCACTGTGGTTGGGATCTATATGTGTATCTTGATGGTTCTAACAAATTTGCCCTAACTGTTTTAAGACTCTAGTGCCTAAACATTTAAGATTATTTTATCTTCTTGGAAATTGAACCTTTTTGCCATTTTCTCATGACCCTCTTTATCTCTAGTAATCCTTTTTGCCTTAAAGTCAATTTTGTTTCATTAATAGAACCATACCAACTTATTTTTCATTAGTTGCATAGTGTATCTTCTTCTATCCTTTTACTTTTTTTTTTTTTTTTTGGTGTTCTTATATTTTACACGTAACTCACAATATAGGGCTAGATTTTATCCATTATTTATTTAATGGTTTTAAATCAGGTCTAACAGTCGTTGTCTTTAAGTGTGAACACATAGTTCATTTTCATTTATTGTTATAATTAGAATATAATAGAATACTAATAATTAGAATCTTAATTCCTATTAGATTCCATAGTAATTGGATTTATTTCTCCTGACTTACATTTTATGCTTTTTATGTCTATTTTTTCTTCTCTTTTGTTGCCTTTAGTGATAATTAATTTTTTTTTTCATTGTTGGGGATTTACTGAGGGTACAGAGAACTGGATTGCATTGATTGCATTTGTTAGGTAAAGTCCCTTTTATAATTGTGTCTTGTCCCCCAAAAGGTGTGTCACACACAGTGGCCCCCTACCCCTGTCCTTCCTTCTCTCTGCTCTCCCCTTCCCTCACCCCCCACTGTATACTAGGTCATTAACTGTCCTCATATCAGAATTGAGTACATAGGATCCTTGCTTCTCCATTCTTGTACTGCTTTATTAAGAATAATGTGTTCCACTTCCATCCAGGTTAATACAAAAGACATAAAGTTTCCATTTTTAAAATTTTTACTTATTTATTTTTTTGAGACAGTCTTACTGTGTCACCCTTGGTAGAGTGCTGTGACGTCACAGCTCACTGCAACCTTTAACTCTTGGGCTTGAGCAATTCTCTTGTCTCAGCCTCTCAAGTAGCTAGGACTATAGGCGCCTGCCACAATGCTGGGCTATTTTTTTTGTTGTTGCAGTTATTGTGAGGCCTGGGCCAGGTTTGAACCTGCCTGCCTCAGTGGTATGTGGCTGGCACCCTAGCCACTGAGCTATGGGTGCCAAGCCTCCATCTTTTTTAATGGCTGAATGGTATTCCCTGGTATACATATACTACAGCTTATTAATCCATTCTTGGGTTGCTGGGCATTTAGGCTGTTACCCCATTTTGGTGATTGTAAATTGAGCTATAATTTTTTTCTTATTACATTATTTTTCTTTACTAATTTGGAAATCGTATATTCTTTGCTTTTTTAAGTGGCTACTCTAGAAATTGTAAAATGTAACTGTAAAATTTATTGATGTCCTGATTCTTCTCTCAGTCATCTCAAGGATGTTAAAACACTAATTCTAGTGGTCACTTACCTCCCAAATTATATGCTATTTTTTTGTGTATTTTAATTTTTTTAAATCTTATGAAACTTCTTTTTACTGTTATATGGTCATAAATCAACTTTTGAATAACCACATCTTTGCACATTTCTTCTTTATCCTAGTCTGCATTTTAGTCCTTCCAACTGGTGTCACTTTCCTTCTTCTTGAAATATGTGCTTTAGAATTTCCTTTAGGGTCTGCTGGTTATTTACTCTTTCAGTTTTTCATTGTTTGGAAATATTTTTGTCTTATCCTGAGTCTTTAGCTGGATATAGACTTCTTAGCTGACGTACACCCCCTCCCAACATGTTGAAGATATTTTCCCACTACGACTGTTGCTGTTGTGAAATCAGCTATCAGTCCAGTTGTTGCTCTTTTGAAAGTAATCTGACCTTTTCTTTGGTTGCTTTTAATTTTCAGTAGTTTGTACTTTTATTGTGATGTGCCTATGTGGATATTTTAAAATTTATTCTGCCTGAGATTTGCTGGGAATCACGATAGCTGTGATTCTTGTTGTTTGTCTCCATTCCAAGCCGCAGTGACACTCTTGTGGATTCATTTAGTAGACTGCTTACTGGACTCTGCCTCTCATTTCTTTCTTCCCCTAGTTCATTTCCACAATGCTAAAGGAGATAATCTTTCTAAAATATATATTGGCTATACCATATGGCTGATTAAACATTCTGAGTTTGTGAAGGCCTTAGTTTCCAAAGATTCTAGCATAAAAGTCTAAATTCCTTAGTTCAGCACATTCTATTTCTGTACCCACAAAAAACACTGATAAATAAGGGGTTGCTAAGTACATGGATATGAAATGGATGATTGGAGGTACCTGACCCTAATACTCTAGTATTAGTAAATAAAGCTAGATGCTATGGCTTGTGCCTGTAATCCTGGCTACCTGGGAGGCCAAAAATGAGAGGACTGCTTGAATGTAGGCATTGGAGGTTGCAGTGAGCTCTGTTCTTACCATTGTGTTCCAACTGGGTGACAGAGTGGGACTTTGTATCTTAAAAAAAATTGGGCTAATAATAAAATTTGATATAAATATTAAACATGAAAATACCTATATAGCTTTTAGGATATGGAACTCTTAGAAGGTCAAGAATATAAATGTAATGGCTCAGTTGGCAAGGGCGCTGGCCACATACACCTAGGGTGGTGGGTTCGGACCTGGCCCGGCTCTGCTAAGCAACAATGTCAACTGCAGCCAAAAAATAGCCGGATGTTGTGGCAGGTGCCTGTAGTCCCAGCTATTTGGGAGGCTGAGGCAGGAGAATCACTTAAGCCTGAGAGTTGGAGGTTGCTGTGAGCTGTGATGCCATGGCACTCTACCAAGGGTGACATAGTAAGACTCTGTTTCAAAGAAAAAAGAAGAAGAAAGACTCTAATTTAACAACTAGCTAGAACTGAGGGTTTGGAGAGGAGAACCAGAGTTTGATGTTCAGATGTGTGATTTGTATGGTTGTGTGGATTGCATCGTCCATACCACATGATTTACAATAAGAAGGTCTTGGGGGAGGAAAAAGGTTGAAGATGGTGGAAGGAGAGGGGAATGAGTCTATAAGTTAGGGTTTGTTGAGGTGGAGATATTGGTGAGATGTTTTCAACGAAGTCTAGCAGGCAGGTAGAGGAACTGGTCATGAGATAGTCCATCTTCCCAGCTTTGAGGTACAGGTGACAATGCTGTTAAAAAAGAATAGACATTAGTAATTTTGTGTATCTCTTCTGAGTCAAGTTCTCAGCAAACCTTTGGTAGTCATAGCTCATTGAAACTTCATCTTATGCCTTTAAGGTAGCTATTATCTCCATTTTATAGATGAAAAAGACTGAACCTTAGGGAAACCAAGCATGTTATTTGAAAATGTTTCTGTGCTATCTTTGCCTAAGGTAACAGCAAATTTCTTTTTAGATCAGAGCATAATCTGAAGTGAATGTTATCACCTCAGAATTCTAGGCCTGCTGGAATCTCTAGAAACAGGTCTGGGAATCTGTTTTTATTATGCAGGTTAGGCAGTTCTTAAGATTGGACAGATCTGGCACTTCCTACTTTGAGCATCACCTGTCTAGTTCCAAATTGCAATTTTTAGCCCATGCACTGCATACCCCTCCATGGCAGGAGTTGGTATTTTGATCAGGGCTTGTGTAATACTTTTATCAGCTCTGATCTTTGTGGGTTGTGGAAAGATACCATATTATTAGAGAGCAGGAGATTTTAAAAATAGCCTGCAGTTCTACCATGACAGTTGCTTTATTAGAGGTTTGGGGGAGAAGGAAACTAGTATTTATTAAGTGTTTCTACTAGTTCTCCAAAGAAAAAGGGGCCTTGGCTTCATTTCACCAAGATTGTGTATCTGGTAAGTGGCTGAGCCAAAGTTCAGACTCAGAATTGGTTTACAGTAAAAATAGCTCACTTATTTAGTGCTAACTCTGTTCCTAGGCTGTTACATGTATTAATTTAACCCTCAGCAATTTAGTGGAGGAAAGTTCAACCATTACTCTACTTTACGGATTTGAATCTGAAGCTTGTAGAGACTAAGCTGCCTGATTTCACACACCTAGTAAGTGGTAGATACAGGCTTTAGAGCAGTGATTTTCTTTTTCTTTTTCTTTCTTTCTTTCTTTTTTTTTTTTTTTTTTTGAGACAGAGTCTCACTTTTATCAATCCTTGGTAGAGTGCCTTGGCGTCACAGCTCACAGCAACCTCAAACTCTAAGTGATTCTCTTGCCTCAGCCTCTTGAGTAGCTGGGACTACAGGCTCCCACCACAATGCCCGGCTATTTTTGTTGCAGTTGTCACTGCTGTTTTAGCTGACCAGGGCTGGGTTCGAACCTGTCACCCTCCGTATATGGAGCTGGCATCATACCCATTGAGCCACAGGCACCACCCTAGAGCAGTGACTTTCAAGGCTGTGTGCACACTTGTGTGCCATGAGTGGATCTTAGGTGTGCTGAGAAATTTTTAAAGATCATTACTTAAATTATTTTTGAAAGAAGTTTAAAGCAGAGTAAGTATATTCTTTTTCTTTCTTACTCTTTTTTTTAATCAACATAATTTAAGTGTGCTGTAGAAGTTTAACTATAGGTTCAAGTGTACTGTTAGATAAAAAAGGTTGAAAAACATGCGCTAGAGCCTTCTAGACTCTAGAATTCACACTTCTTAGCTCTGCCTAATCCTGACTTGCTTTGACTCATGTTCTTTGCACTTTTGTAATTTAAATGCTTAAAAAATTTAAGCATAAAGAACTTAATTTTTAAAATGATCATAAATTTATATTTGTTCATGTAAACTAATACAAGACCTATGACATTGCTTTTGGTGTGCATGGAGATGACTGCTGCATTTACTTCTTTTTTGGTTCCTTCAGACATGCAGAGCAGTACCAGGAAAATGGGCATCATGACTGATGTCCATAGGCGATTCCTCCAGCTGCTGATGACTCATGGTGTGCTGGAGGAATGGGAGATCAAGCGCTTGCAGAAGCACTGCTACAGGGTCCACGACCGTAAGTATTGTTTCCTGTTCCCAGGATGCTCTGGTGCAGTGCTGGTCAGGGAACAATGACGTGTATAATATTGTGGAACAAGTTAACCAGTACTCAAGTCTGTTTGCAGCCTCATATCAGCTCGTTTTTCTGATCTTGTCTTCTGCTTTTATTTATTTGTTTTTTCAAGCAAATACGACATTTAGCCCAGTGGATAAAAACTTATATTCTGAAGCTATGCAGTTGTTGTTCACACCAAAGCTGCAGTACCTGTCTCTAAAATGGGGAGAGTAATGGTACTTAATGCATAAGTAAATATGCGGTTCAAAGAATTTAGAGACATAATACACAAAACACCTGCTATAGGGAATGTGCTCAGTAGGCTCTTGATAGGTAATAGGGGAGCTTAGCACAGGGGCAAAGGACATAGCCATAGACTTAGCCAAGTCTGGAGACAGTGCCATCCCTGCCCCTGCTGTAGGCATTTGGAGCATCTTCTCAGGCGTCAGTGGGAGGAGCAAATGAGATGTGTGCACTTGGAACATATACTGAGATTTGTGCACTTAGAACATATACTGAGTTCTCAGCAACTGGAGAGAGCAACAGAAGCAGTAGGTAGAGTGGAGAAATCAGAAGAATTCATGTTGGCATATTGTGTTGAGTATCAGTATAGGTAACTTTTCTTGAATAGTTTTTTTTTTTTTTGAGACAGAGTCCCACTTCCTTGCCCTTGGTAGAGTGCTGTGGTGTCATAGCTCACAGCAATCTCAAACTCTTGGGCTCAAGTGATTCTCTTGCCTCAGCCTCCCAAGTAGCTGGGACTATAGGCACTTGCCTCAATGCCTAGCTATTGTTAGAGACGGGGGTCTCGTTCTTGCTCAGACTGATCTCGAACCTGTGAGGTCAGGCAATCTACCCACCTCGACCTCCTAGAGTGCTAGGATTACAGGCGTGAGCCACTGTGCCCAGCCTGATTAGATTTTCCTGAGAGAAAAGGAAAGCTGATAAGGTTATGCTTATTGTATGATGTCATTATGTTTTTTATAATGTACAAAATGGTTTTTTCATTGCTTATGAATGTGTTTGCATGTAAAAGCATAGAAATGAACTGGGAGGATAAATAGCATGCTGGTGAGGTGCCTGCCTTTGAGGAGAGGAGGAGTAGGTTTTTAGCAGAAATAAAAGGATACTCATCTTTATACCGTTTTCTTTTATTAAAAAGAAAAGCAAATATGACAAATTTGAAGCAAATATGACATTGCTAGCATAACAAAATGACATTAGCATAGTCTAATAGTTGTTACTACTGATTAATTAGGATGCAGGTGTTTGGTTTTTATTCTGTATTTTTCTCTTTCTCTCTGTATTTTTAATCATCAGCAGAAAAATGGAAAACCTAACAAAGAGGTGAGCCAAGCCAAGAGGAGTGATTAGAGGTGTGGCGAGTGCCAAGTACAAGTGCAGGGACACAAGAAATGGTGCCATATTTAGAGCACTGCAATTTCTGCAGTGACAAAGAACTAGAAGTCTGGTCCCAGGCTCAGCGCCTGTAGCTCAGCGGCTAGGGCGCCAGCCATATACACTGGAGCTGGCAGATTCGAATCCAGCCTGGGCCTGCCAAACAACAATGACAACTACAACCAAAAAATAGCTGGGCATTGTGGCGAGTGCCTGTAGTCCCAGCTACTTGGGAGGCTGAGGCAAGAGAATCGCCTAAGCCCAAGAGTTTGAGGTTGCTATGAGCTGTGACACCACTGTACTCTACCCAGGGTAACAGCTTGAGACTCTGTCTCAAAAAAAAAAGGAAGCCTGGTCCCAGAGAGGGAAGGGATGTATGAGAATAAGAAGGGGACAACAGTGAGTACTGAGACAAATAACTCTTTCAAGATGTGCAAAAGAAAAAAGAATGAAAGAAGGTAGCACATTAGATAGGTGAAGAGGTACAATGTGAAGAGACTAGAGAGTAGCATCCCTTAAATGTGTCCTCCAGAGCACTGGTCCATTGAGGGATTTCATGGGGAGTTCTAGAAGCTTGATAATACACAGGAACAAATTAGCTTATTTAACTATGTTTAATTCTGTGTATCCGAATTTAGTTGACCTACTGATAACATACTTAGGGAAAACCTAGACAAGATTATATGGTGTGTGTAACGAGAACAAGCTCTTTTGGTGTGTAAATTTGCCTATTTTCAAAACACCATAGTATGAAATCATAGTAATGATTTTTACTTTTGTGAACAGAACAGGCTTCTTGAATGTATTTGAAGCAGAAAGTGACATAATTAGTTCTGTGTTTGAGAACTATCTCTCTAGTGAAAATGTATCTGCTGTAATGGCCTAAGCTATGGTGGATAGGGTGTCAGACTCCATTATTGAAAGGGAGTATTATGTCCATTAAGCCAGCTTCTCTTGCTCTTTAAAAAGCACAGTAGGTCCAGCCTAAGCAAGACCATCGGAGACCCCGTCTCTAAAAAAAAAAAAGCTACTGGGGCCGCTGAGGCAAGAGGGTCGGTTGAGCCCAAGAGTGTTTTTTTTTTTTTTTTGGTAGTTTTTGGTCAGGGCTGGGTTTGAACCTGCCACCTCCGGTATATGGGGCTGGCGCCCTACTCCTTGAGCCACAGGTACTGCCCTGAGCCTAAGAGTTTGAGATTGCTGTGAGCTGTGATGCCATGGCACTCTGCAAAGTGAGACTCTTTATTACAAAACAAAAACCCAGTAGGGGCCAGGCATGATGGTTCACACCTATAATCCCAGCACTTTGGAAGGATGGCTTGAGGCCAAGAGTTTGAGACCAGCCTGGGCAACAGAGTAGGTCCCCATGTCTAAAAAAATAATAATAAAAGCATAGGAGGAATTTAAACCTACCCCTCAATATCCTCCAGAGATGAGTGAAAGAATGCTTGTCTTAATGTTTATCAATATAACAATTCATTCCTTTCCCCTTTTGGTTTCTCCTGTAAGTCTTGAATGTGAGCTTCAGTGTTGATGGGGAAGTTTTGCAGCTCACTACAAGAAGCCATACGATACCTTAATACTAAGAATGAAACTGTTTTTGCCTTTATTCGACCTTTAAAATTGTTATGATCTAATTTAGGAAAGTCCTGTATAACGTGTCTAGGAATTGATTTATTCTTCACACTTTATGTACACTTTATGTATCATTTCTTTGCATGTAGATATGGTTATGGCTAGGTCAAAACAGGGTATAACTGTAGTCTCTTTTCTCCTATCCTTCATGTAAAAACAAAAACAAAAAAGTTTGTTCCTGAGAATTCTTATTATTAAGAGAGATTTTAAAACAAGGAATGATAGAAATTATCTAAAATTAAGTAACTACTTATATTAATCTGTATTATTTATCTTTTGAAGAAATGGTCAGGAAAGTCCCCTTGTACCAACTAGAAAAATATTTAACTTCTAAGAAAATTAGGAAAAGGAGTAATTGAAACTGCAAGTTATTCTAATTGCCATTTCCCAGAGTATTTGTTGAGTTTATCAAAGCACTTATTTTGGGCTTTGGTTTGGGCTCTCTCCTTATTGTCATTAAGGGGAAACAAATTCCCTAGTTCTCCTGGCTAGCGAAGAGATTCGATTTTGTTCTGAAGTCCAGTGCAAAGCCTTGGGTCTAGCCTTTCGGGAACTTAGGGAACTGTGTTCTTAGTGGACCTTAGATTTTGAGCCAGGATTTGTGTCCACACCATATGTTTGTTTATCTAACAAAACTTCCTGAGAATCACATGTGAACTGGTCCTTTGTACTAGGAACTGGTGACACAGAGATTAAGTTTTTGTTTCACAGTGGCTCTAACAAGTCATATAGATAAGGAGTCAAGTGATGCCAGTATAATTTCTTTTGGTAGAAGTAGGCACAGAAGGCTGAGGGACTGGAGGTTAAGAAGACTTAGGTTTGATGTTTTCCCTTTTGGGCCATGGATGTAGTAGGGATCAATATATCTTCCTGCCTGAAACAGTCGAAATGTAGACAAAATATAAAACATTGGACTTTAGTCAGTGGAGGATAGTGATCTCTTGAGAGAGAGTCAATGAGGATTTTTTTTTCTGGTTCTTGACAGTGAGTACACGGCATCTTTTTCATTACTACTACCCCAATTCTTTATGAAGAGTCTTAAAAAAACCGCAGGGATCCTAAGGAGCAGGGTATAAATAGGATCAATAGGACCTCAGGGCTTACAACACAAGCAAGAAGTCAGCCACTGTTTATAGATAGTTAAAAAAAGAAAAGAAAAGTAATTATCTATTCTAGATAGAAACTCTCAGCAAAGTGGAAAAAGAAGGGAACTTCCTTAACCTGATAAAGGAGATCTCTGTAAAACCTATAACTAACATTGTACTTAATGGTGAAAGACTGAATTCTTTTCCCCTAATACCAGGAGTAAGATAAGAATGTTAGTTTTCACTTCTGTTCTAGCCAGTGCACTCAGGTAAGAAAAAGAAAAGCCATCTGAATTGGAAAGGAGAAAGTAAAATTGTCTATATGTAGTTCATGTAGAAAATCTGACGGAATCTCTTAAGCTACTAGAACTGATAAGTGAGTTTAGTAAAGTTGCAGGATATAAGATCAATATCCATATACCAATTATATTTCTATACGTTAGCAATGAATAACAGAAGAATTTTTAAATGGCACCATTTGTATATAATAGTATCAAAAACATACAATGCCTAGGGATAAATCTGAGAAAAATGTGTAAGACCTGTACACTGGAAACTATAAAACTTTGTTGATAGAAATCAAAGGAAATCTAAATAAATAGAGAGACATACCATGTTCATGGGCTGGGAAATTCAGTAGTGTTAAGATACTAGTTCTTGGCTTGGTACCCATAGCACAGTGGTGACAGCGCCAGCCACATACACCAAGGTTGGTGAGTTCGAACTCGGCCTAGGCCAGCTAAACAACAATGACAACTGCAACAGAAAACAGCCGGGCGTTGTGGCAGGCACCTGTAGTCCCAGCTACTTGGGAGGCTGAAGTAAGAGAATCACTTAAGCCCAAGA